ATATTTTGGCTGTTGAGCAGAGGAGAGAGATTGGTCTAAACTCGTTAGGTTTTTTAGCTTTTGGAATCTTTTGGATTGGAACGATTATACTTTCTTTCCAGAGATCAGGTACCTTTTTTGTCATTAATGATAGAGAGAATAAACTAAAGAGTGGATATGCCAATGTTTGTGCACAGTTTTTAAGAAAGATATTAGGTATATTATCAGGTGATGTGTTATTCTTATTATCTAATTTTGTTAAATAATTAAATATATCGTGAACTGAAAAATCCATGTAATCTATTGTATTCAATAGTGGGTAAGTTTTGTTTGTAATCTGTGTGTTAGTCCCACTGTTTTTAAAGACTGAACTGAAATGAGATGCAAGTATGTTAACTTTCTGTTTATTTGTGAATACTATGTTATTGTGATCGTCTACCATTGTTGAGTATTTCAAATTTTTTGATTTAAGAAAAGCGCCAACATATGCAAATTTCTTTTTTGGGTGGGGTATTATTCTTTTTTCTTTATTTTTCTGAAATTTCAGCATCTGTTTCCTTATTAGATGAGTTATCTTCAAATAGTTTGGCCTATTCGTTTTATGAATGTTTCGTTTCCATAAACCCTCTTGAGTGTCTAATAATTTTTTAATATGAGTCGGTAATCCTTTTAGTTTATTTTCTATGGGTAAACAAGGTATAAAAAAGTTTATAGTTTCGTTAATTATGTTAGAAAAATTTTTATAGTTGATGTTTATATCATTGGAGTGCCCAAATATGGTTATCCAATCAATTGAAGCTAGGTATTGGTTAATTGTTTTATAGTCCGCTTTTTTAAAATCCTTGATGTATTTTGTAGGTTCATAAGTTATTATTTGTTCTAATTCAAAAATTATACTGTTATGATCCGATGTTGAGAAAGGGGGTGCTATTTCTAACTTGTGTATTAAGTTGTGTGTGTTAGTAAAAACAAGATCTAATATATTTTTTCCCCTAGTACCTTGAGAGACAAGTTGTATTAACTGTTGGCTGTTAGTAAACTCACAAAATTCGTTTTCATTCTGAGTGGTGTGTGAGACAGGTAAGAATTGTTCCCATGCTATTCCAGGAAAATTAAAATCTCCCAGCATTATACACGCATTTTCAGTGGTGCAGCAGTATAATATAGTTTCCAAGAAATTAGAAAAATCTTGTGATTTTTGAAACCCAGGGGGCCTATAAACAGCAATAATTCTTATTGTTTGGAGTTGCGGTAATAACAAGTCGAATGATATTAGGTTGAAACTATTTGTTTTTAAAATTTTGGACTGTTTGAACGGTAGTGCCTTATGAATTATAACGCAAACGCCGCCACCTTTTTTGGATGGTCTGTCTGATCTTAGAATCTCATAATCTAATGCATGTAGAATAAAACTATCATTAATTTCTTTATGAAGCCAGGATTCGCTAACGACTATGATTTGGTATTTATTGGTGCTTAGTAATGATCGAAATTCATTCATTTTATTTAATAAACTACGAGCGTTAAAGCAAATGCATTTGATATTTTTGGATTTTTTAAAAATTTTCTGTTTACTTTTACAATTCTTATTGATTATTTGTACGCAATTCGGAGTTTTTTGGGCTGTTTTATAAATTGGCTTATAAGTTAGTGGGAGGAGATTAAGTTTTTTGAGTGTGGATTTGTATTTAAGGTTGTGCGAAAAATAGGGATCTCCTCCCGCAAAATTACCATACCAGCATATATAATAAAGTCGGCACCAGGATTCGCCTGACGTTTTTCATGACACTGTTTTATAAGAGCAGATCGATTAGCGAGTTCTGTTCTGGAAAGGGACTCTCGCAAATGTAAATGTTTGTATTGATTTTTTAAAAATTTTTTGCCTGAGAGTGCCTCCCGAACAGCATATGAACATGGAAATTTAATTTTAATTGGGCGAGGTTTATTTTGGTTAATTTTCCCCATACGAAAAATCCCAGTTGGCAAAGCACTTGAAACTTTACATTCATTTAAGACCTGTAAAACTCGTTGTTGATCATCCTTCGCCTTTTCAATTGATTCAGCTTGTTCACTTTCTGGCAATCCATTAAGCACGAGACAGTGGCGTCTTTCCTTCTCCTCCATTTCTTGTCTAAATTCACCATATTGAAGTTGGCTTGTTTGTTGATTCCCAGTTTGTTGTTGTTGTTCCACTATCAATTCAGAAGTTAATGTTAATATTTGCTGCATTTGGGTCATTAGAATTTTTGCCCACGGAGGTGTTGTAGTGTCGTTATTCATTTGTTGAAAAATTTCTTGAAAATTTAAATTATTGATTTGCTCAATTAATCGTGAGCGTTTGTCGTTAACTGATGTGCCAGATAAATTTAATGGCGTATTTGCATTTCTTTTTGTGGATGTTGATTGATTATTTATTGACGTTGACATTATTTCCATAAGTTATTACCCAGAGTAATGTAACTTAATTCTTAAACTTAAAGTTCCGCTGTTTTCTCCCAGTTCCGCTGTTTGACCACTCAAAATCCAAATGTATTAATTCCAAACAATTATAAGCAATTATTGATAAATCAGTCTAAAGAAATTTTAAATAAAAAAATATAAATTAATGCCTTGTTAAGATCATTTCTTTTAATCTGCAATGCTCGTAGAAACTTCAAAGATGGATGAGAATATATGGATTCCCGATCAGTTGTAATAAAAAATGGAGAGTAAAAGCTTAAAATTAAATTTTTATTATTATAAGAATATATCCAACTTAAAAGAAAACTTTTATTGAAAAAGTTTTTGATATGCACTAATAAATACCAAAAAAGGTAGGTTAATTTGATAGGGCATTCACATGACTTAAGAAAACTTTAAGACTAATTGTAAGTGAGATATCAATAAAGACGGATTCCAAATATGTTATAAAGCAAAAAGTTAAGGGCTTTGCTAAAGAAAGGATATGCTAGAACTATTGATTAAAAATATACCGATGCATTTTAGTAACATCAGGATTATTTAATAATACAAAACAAAGTCTAGGACACGTTTCAATGACATGATTTAAAGCACTGTCTGAATAATCATGCATAAATAACTGCATTAAGGTTGGAGGCAAGAATTGTCGTTGGCCAATTTCTTTAGCTCTCTCAAAAATTAGATTTATTCTATTAACACGAAGGCACTTGAGTTTTTTGCAATTTTTAACCAGAGATAAAAATGCATCAACAGATTTTTCCTGCTTAAAAATAAATATTTATGTAAGTATTCGAATTAACTAGATTAACCCACCCGAATTTAATTGACAAACAAAATTAAATATTTCTAATTAAAAAATCGAACCGGTTGTAGAACTAGACCCAATGAAAGGAGATTAGGCGCTAAAAACTCCTCAATCCGATTTAAATCCCAAACATCAATCGGTTCCTCCATGGAAAAGTGTGTAAGAGAAGACAATGAGTAAAAATGACGGCCGACAAAAGACGAACTTCTAACTCCATAACAGAGACGGAGACTTTTCAAATACACTGCACAACGAAGAATTATAACATTAAACGCCTTTATCTATAAAAGATAGCAGATAATTAAAATCGTATAGATAATAACCATTTTTAATTCAACGTCCCCCGATTCCATATCAAGCCAATTACATGTTTCCTTTGAGAAATTTAAATACTTTACATTACACCACTTTTGACAAGCAGCAGCAAATAATGCACAAATGAGTTCGAGCCTAAGTCGGCTGTTGATATCAACCCTCTCCCATTTGCTATCAACCCTCTCCCCACTCTCCCCATTTGAATTTTTCTTTGAAGCCAAGGCAATTATATCAGCCCCAATGCCGCCAAATACATACTTTGATTTTGAATTGTCCATAATAATTTCATGATGAACACTTGAGTCATGAAAGTTTATTTCAATTGAACTTTCGTCGTTGCTGTCATTTAGACTTGATTATTCCAAAAGTATTCCAGGCCTGAAAAAATTTTTTTAATTTAAAATGGCTAAAGTATTTTTCTGAAAAAGGTTAAATCTATCTTTTAAATATCCACATATAAATAAAACATTATTTGACAATCAATAACTAACCAAAAATCTTCCGCCATCATCAGAAGCAGGAGTTGATCCGATAGAGAATGGTTTAGGTACTCGCATTCCTTTTATTGTTGTACACGGATCTTTTTGTGTAAGCATATTTGCCAGGTCGTTAGTATTGAAAAGTTTTCTTTCGCTAGCTGCATTGAGGATCCCATACACATTGAATTCGAGGACATTGAATTCTAAAATTAACAAGGAAAAATATTAAAACAATTTTAGTTTGAAAAATACCCTTATAAATTAAACTTAAAAAATATTTGGTGATTGCTAAATCACAATCGAGCAACAAAAATTGAATTAAAATAATAAAAAATAGCCTACTTTGCTATAGAGAATTCATTACAGGCCTTAAACTTGGCAATCGGTTTCTTGGAAGTTTGTTGATTTTTTTGAATTGAACGAATATGGACATTCCCGTCAGATGTCGAAATTGTGAAATACTCTCCACTTGGACTTATTGAAATGTTTAAAATTGCAGCTATAAATTTTAATATTTTATTTCAAACGATTTAAATAAATACCTTCAAACTCATAACGTTCAATGGATGACTGGCCTGAGGTAGTATCCAATCGAACAGATTTAACCATAAAATCACTTAAATCTCAATTTAAAATAATCTCTAAAAAATTAAAACAAACCCTGAACCTGCAATTAAATAAATTCCATTCGTTGCCAAAGCAGTCACTTCAAGAGAAAATGATAAAAATGCATGAGAAGGAAGAAACGATGAAAGACCATAACGAACAACAACTTGTTGATCAACGCCAGTAATTACATCTTGAGTTGTTAGAGCCAAATCGATATTCTCCCTATATAAAATTTTAAAACAGAACGACCAAGTATTGTCTCCAAAGTCCCAAATCTTGGCTAATTATTTTCCTTGTTTTTATTTAATATTGATAAAACACAAAATAGGTGTAAAAAATATGAAATTTAATCTCTAATATTTAGCCCAGCCAGCACAAAGTTTATGTCCTTTCATCTCAACTCCATTAATGCCGGAAATAGCATTTTCTGCCTCCCGCATAGCTTGAAATTCACACAAGCAACGCCCTGGACGAATTGTATTGCGGTCAAATTTAATGCTTAAATAATAAGCCTTATTTGAAAATAAAGACAAAAATACTGCAAGTCTTCTATAACACCATAAGTAGCACACAATTTATAAATATCTCCATATGGCGTATTGTACGGAATGTTATCAACTAAATGTAGAAATATAATGTACATATAGTAAATATAATGCACTTAAAGAGGAAAGTGTGAATGTTCTGTACAATAAAATCAGAATTTATACTAAATAGGACTGACGCGATTTCGGATTGTGTTTTCTTTGAAGTTAAGTGGTACTACTAATTTAGTAGTAGCTAATTTTGGGTTTCATACAAATTTTCTTGGATTGTGGAAAGTTTCAATGCTAAAAATATTTGTTAATTTAACCAAAATATCCCTAAATTTTTAAAATTACCATATATAATATATAGCGGAGCATCCATATCTTTGTCAAATCAATGAAATTTTTAAATTTGAAAGCAGACAACTGAAAAATCAAAATAATGAAAAATCAAGTATTAAATATGTATTTAAGAAGTTTGAATATCTTATGCATTGAAACATTTGTTTAAGTCGAAATTCAAAAAATTTTATTTAATAGAATTTATTGGGACACGGCACTTAGTCGCGGGCCACTTAGTCGCCAGCCCACTTAGTCGCGAAGTAACTAAAAAGTGGTGCCCAGCAAAATCGATTTTGCCGGACCCGGATCCGAATTCCGAACTTGCAACTTGACTACTACAAATATATGACATAAACTGGGGATAATGTTACAACAATGGAAAGGTTGTTCCAACAGCAGGTGGCCGGTGACTAAGTGGGCCATACCCGAATTTATTTAATATGTAGAGATCCTCAAAATTAAAAAAAAATAAATTAAATCATAAAACATCAGTCAAAATTTTTTCTTTATAATTAAATGTAATAATTGCCAAAAAGTATTTGCCTATAAAAAGAAAAAATTAGGAAGTTTAAAAGAAGATACAAACGAATTAAGTCCATAAGAGGCATTCAACATTTTTTTTAGAATTTTTGATTGGAAATAATTGCAATAATCCCGAGAACGCGGAACTCTATTTATTTTATAAGCATTATTTTTCCAAACAAAAATGACATCATCTCGTAATCCAAAACGTCTTAACTGAATTAAAAAAAATTAAATCTTATAATAAAAATAACATCAAAATGAAAAAAGGCAGAAAGCTTTTTGAAACTATAAAGCTGTAATAAATCATCTTCAATCCCAGTTCCGCTGTTTGACCACTCAAAATCCAAATGTATTAATTCCAAACAATTATAAGCAATTATTGATAAATCAGTCTAAAGAAATTTTAAATAAAAAAATATAAATTAATGCCTTGTTAAGATCATTTCTTTTAATCTGCAATGCTCGTAGAAACTTCAAAGATGGATGAGAATATATGGATTCCCGATCAGTTGTAATAAAAAATGGAGAGTAAAAGCTTAAAATTAAATTTTTATTATTATAAGAATATATCCAACTTAAAAGAAAACTTTTATTGAAAAAGTTTTTGATATGCACTAATAAATACCAAAAAAGGTAGGTTAATTTGATAGGGCATTCACATGACTTAAGAAAACTTTAAGACTAATTGTAAGTGAGATATCAATAAAGACGGATTCCAAATATGTTATAAAGCAAAAAGTTAAGGGCTTTGCTAAAGAAAGGATATGCTAGAACTATTGATTAAAAATATACCGATGCATTTTAGTAACATCAGGATTATTTAATAATACAAAACAAAGTTTAGGACACGTTTCAATAACATGATTTAAAGCACTGTCTGAATAATCATGCATAAATAACTGCATTAAGGTTGGAGGCAAGAATTGTCGTTGGCCAATTTCTTTAGCTCTCTCAAAAATTAGATTTATTCTATTAACACGAAGGCACTTGAGTTTTTTGCAATTTTTAACCAAAGATAAAAATGCAACAACACATTTTTCTTGCTAAAAATGAATATTTATGTAAGTATTCGAACCGACTAGATTAACCCACCCGAATTTAATTGGCAAAGAAAATTAAATGTTTTTAATAAAAAATCGAACCGGTTGTAGAACTAAGCCCAACGATAAAAGATTAGGAGCTAAATACTCCTTAATCTGATTTAAATTCAAAACATCAATCGGTTCCTCCAAAGAAAAGTGTGTAAGAGAAGACAATAAGTGAAAATGTCCAACAAAAACCGAGCTTGGAACTCCATAACAAATACGGAGACTTTTCAAATACGCTGCACAACGAAGAATTATAACATTAAACGCCTTTATCTATAAAAGATAGCAAATAATTAAAATCGTATAGATAATAACCATTTTTAATTCAACGTCCCCCGATTCCATATCCAGCCAATTACATGTTTCCTTTGAGAAATTTAAATACTTTACATTACACCACTTTCGACAAGCAGCAGCAAATAATGCACAAATGAGTTCGAGCCTAAGTCGGCTGTTGCTATCAAAAAATTCGAAAATTGAAAACTAAAATAATATATATTGTTTAAATATTATAAAATCCAACCAAAAGTTATAAAGGCATTTTTGCATTGCTTTTGATCAGCATTAATTCTGCTCTTAAATTTTGTTTATTTATTTGGTAAATAAGGCAAGAAGTTGATAAATAAGGCAAGAAGTTTGGTAAATAAGGCAAGAAAACTAAAAGATAAATTTTTCAATAAATTATTTTAAGATAGGTGTATGTAATTTCATTTAACAAAATGGTAAAATATAAATCATAAAAAAAATAAGATAATAATTTTAATTAAAGGAATCAATTACGGCAAATAAAATAAAAGAAGTGAGATTTAAGTGAAATTAAGTTTTGTATTATTTTCTTTTTGGTGGTAAAAGTGAGTCAAAAAAGTCCGGAATTGCATCAACTCGATCTTTCGGTTTTTCCACAAAACCACGACTGTTTGCTGTTGTTGAACCAATATTTTTTGAAGGTGTTTTCTTTGCTCTCTGAAAAAATATTAGGTTTAAATAAGTTTTAGTCTTTAATAATTGCCTTGAAAGGATTATTAGCAGGACTGCTATCGAGAAGAAATGAATCTGAAAGTAATGCAGATCCAAGTGCAGAACTAGCAATGCTTGTATTTAACTCTCCTTGTTCATCATCCTCTCCATCACTGGGAATACTTGAATTTTCAATAATTTGGTCATTATGTTCTTTTCCATTTGTTTCAAAAACTGTAAAGCCATCGTTTAAATTTTCTATTGGCTCGACATTTTCATTAATTACTCGCGTTTTTCCAATATCCTTCCTTAATAATTATTGAATTTTTGAAAAAAAAAATAATTTAAATATATACACAATATTAACTGAAGAATTACTTGTAGTACTTGTAAAAAGTGAAGATGGAGTTTTTCTTTTAGCCACAAGAATTTTAGAAGGTGCAATTATAGGCGATCGAATTTCATTGATAATGGATGAAGATGAGGGAAGCGACGGATGAATTTTTCTTTTAAATTTTGCCCTCTCATCTTCTTTATTTTTTTCATTTTCAATTGCTTGAAGACGTTCACGTCCAATTGCTGCTACCTAGGAAAATAAAAAAAATTTAATTTCAATAAGAATAATTTAAAAACCTTTTCACTCAAAACAGGTCTTTGGATTTTAGCTGCGTAGTTGCATAGACCTTGAACAATTTTTGAATTAATAGATCTATGAGCAATTTCCACTGCTCGATTCTCTCTATTCATCTAAATACAGAAAAGATATTAAAGAAATAAAACATTTCCAAGAAACCTTGCAAGAAACAGAAAATAATTTCATTAAATTTGCAATATAATTATTTGTTAATTGCTCTGCTTCTACCAAATGTTCTGGTCTAATTAAATCACTTTGTTGATGAATAAATCGTTCCGGAGCACGAAAGAAATTAGTATTGTGAAATAAAAATTAGGTATATATCAATAAATGATAAATATATATTTTAAAAAATATTTTATTTTTTATTACTTTCCTTCCTTTTTATTACTAAAAACACTAATATTTATAAAAGAATAGTGGAATTAATGAGTTTATTTCTGATATTTATCCCAGCCAGCACAAAGTGTATGTCCTTTCATTTCAATTCCATTGATACCGGAAATAGCATTTTCCGCCTCCTGTTTAGCTTGAAATTCGCAAAAACCACGTCCTGGACGAATTTTGTTGCGGTCAAATTTAACGCTAAAATTATGAACCTTATTTGAAAATAAGACAAAAATACCACAAGGCTTTTATAACACCATAAGTAGCACACAATTTATAAATATCTCCATATGGTGTATTGTACGGAATGTTATCAACTAAATGTAGAAATATAAACTATAAATGTGGATATAAAAGCCCGAATTTATACTAAATAAAAGACTGACACGATTGGACCTGTTCATGGATACGGATAATTTTCGATACCACGGATATATATGGATTCGGACACATATAAATAGTGCTCCAAACTTGGCCTCATCACTAAAGACCTTTTAATAGCCATTAAATTTAAACAAAATCTCCCCAAATTTTTAAATTTACTATAGATAATAAATAGCGGTGCATTCATATTTTCGTCTCCAAAATTTGTTTAAAATTTGAAAGCTGAAAAATCAAAAATCCAAATTAGAAAATCCTTAGTTAAGCGGTTTAAGTAAATTTTTGTATGTATTAAAACATTCGTTTAAGTTCGAAGTTAAAAAATTTTTTATTTAATAAAATTTATATAGGTATGTAAGAGATCCTCAAAATTAAAAAAATTTAATAAATTAAAACATAAAACATCAGTCAAGATTTTTTCTTTATAATTAAATGTAATAATTTCCAAAAAGTATTTGCCTAGAAATAAAAAAATTAGAAAGTTTAAAAGAAGGTACAAACGCATTTAGCCCATAGGAGTCATACAGCATTTTCTTTAGAATTTTTGATTGGAAATAATTGCAACAATCCCGAGAACGAGGAACTCTATTTATTTTATAATCATTATTTTTCCAGACAAAAATGTCATCATCTCGTAATCCAAAACATTCCAACTGAAATTTAAAAAAATATTTTTAGTTTTAAACTGAAAATAACATCAAAATGAAAAAAGGCTTTCAATCTTCCATTGTTTTTTAGAATGGTGGCGATTTGTTGATAGAACATTCCCAATTCAGTTTTACCACAAAATAATGTACATTTAAAGGTTTCTAAATCCTAAAATTTTTAAATATAAAATATTAGGAATTAAATTCTTACTCTTAAACTATCAAATATCCTCAGTACATAATCCATTCGCAGAAAAAACTTCATATCGTAGCGAAATTCAATGTTCTTAAATAATAACAGTATACTTGTTAATATCTTAATTCTTACTTTTAAAGTGTTTCTTTTATTCAAGCTGTCTAATACATCAAATAAAAAATCATCAAAGCTTTGCCAATCAAAAACAAACTGAAATTTATTAAATTAATTTATAATAAAATTGATCAGAAACGTCATGAAAGGGTGCTACGCCAAACTCGTCAGTTAAAACAATTTGTAAAGAAAGAGAAGAAAGTTTTTTAAAATTGTAAAGCTCTAATAAATCATTTTGATTTTCAATCCCAGTTCCACTGTTTGACCACTCAAAATCCAAATGTATTAATTCCTCACAATTATAGGCAATTACTGATAAATCAGTCTAAAAAAATTTTAAATAAAAAAATATAAATTAATGCCTTGTTGAGTTTAATTCTTTTAATCTGCAATGCTCGTAGAGACTTCAAGGATGGATGAGAATATATGGATTCCCGATCAGTTGTAATAAAAAATGGAGAGTAAAAGCTTTAAATTAAATTTTTATTATTATAAAAATATATCCAAATTAAAAGAAAACTTTTATTGAAAAAGTTTTTGATATTCATTAATAAATACCAAAGAAAGGTAAGTTAATTTGATAGGGCATTCACATGACTTAAGAAAACTAAGACTAAAGTGGGATATCACATAAAGACGGATTCTGAATATGTTAAAAAGCTGAAAATTTAAGGGCTTTGCTAAAGAAAGGATATGCTATAGAATCTATTAATTAAAAATATACCTATGCATTTTAGTACCATCAGGCTTATTTAATAATACGAAACAAAGTCTGGGACACGTTTCAATAACTTGATTTAAAGCACTGTCTGAATAATCATGCATAAATAACTGGATTAAGGTTGGAGGCAAGAATTGTTGTTGGCCAATTTCTTTAAACCTCTCAAAAATTCGATTTATTCTATTAACACGAAGGCACTTGAGTTTTTTGCAATTTTTAACCAGAAATAAAAATGCATCAACAGATTCTTCCTGCTAAAAATGAATAATTATGCAAGTATTCGAACCGACTAGATTAACCCACCCAAATTTAATTGACAAAGAAAATTAAATATTTTTAATTAAAAAATCGAACCGGTTGTAGAACTAGACCCAATGAAAGGAGATTAGGCGCTAAAAACTCCTCAATCCGATTTAAGTGCCAAACATCAATCGGTTCCTCCATAGAAAAGTGTGTAAGAGAAGTCAGTGAACGAAAATGGCGGCCGACAAAAGAAGATCTTGGTACTCCATAACAAAGACGGAGACTTTTCAAATACACTGCACAACGAAGAATTATAACATTAAACGCCTTTATCTATAAATGATAGCAAATAATTAAAATCGTATAGATAATAACCATTTTTAATTCAACGTTCCCCGATTCCATATCAAGCCAATTACATGTTTCTTTGGAAAAAATACTTTATATTACACCACTTTTGACAATCAACAGCAAACAAAGCACAAATAAGTTCAAGCCTAAGTCGACTGGTGTGATTAAAAAACTCGAAAATTGAACACTTTAAAATAATTAATAGATTAAGTTTAAATATATAAAATCCAACCAAAAGTTCTAAAGGCATTTTTGTATTGCTTTGGATCAGCATTAATTCCGATATTAAATTTTGTTTATTTATATTTAAATAAGGCAAGAAGTTGTTGTAACTAAAAGATAAATTTTTCAATAAATTATTTTAAGATATATGTAATTTGATTTAACAAAATGATAAAATAAAAATCATAAAAAATAAGATAATAATTTTAATTAAAAGAAATCAATTAAAAAGGGCAAATAAAATAAAAGAAGTGAGATTTAAGTGAAATTAAGTTTTGTATTATTTTCTTTTTGGTGGCAAAAGTGAGTCAAAAAAGTCCGGAATTGCATCAACTCGATCTTTCGGTTTTTCCACAAAACCACGACTGTTTGTTGTAGTTGAACCAATATTTTTTGAAGGTGTTTTCTTTGCTCTCTGAAAAAATATTAGGTTTAAATAAGTTTTAGTCTTTAATAATTGCCTTGAAAGGATTATTAGCAGGACTGCTATCGAGAAGAAATGAATCTGAAAGTAATGCAGATCCAAGTGCAGAACTAGCAATGCTTGTATTTAACTCTCCTTGTTCATCGTCTTCTCCATCACTGGGAATACTTGAATTTTCAATAATTTGGTAATTATGTTCTTTTTCATTTGTTCCAATAACTGTAAAGCCATCGTCCGCATTTTCTATTGGCTCAACATTTTCATCAATTATTCGCATTTTGCTAATATTCTTCCTTAATAATTTTTGAATTTTTGAAGAAAATAATTTAAATATATACCCAGAATCAACTGGAGAATTACTTGTAGTACTTGTAAAAAGCGAAGACGGAGTTTTTCTTTTAGCCACAAGAATTTTAGAAGGTGCAATTATAGGCGATCGAATTTCATTGATAATGGATGAAGATGAGGGAAGCGACGGATGAATTTTTCTTTTAAATTTTGCCCTCTCATCTTCTTTATTTTTTTCATTTTCAATTGCTTGAAGACGTTCACGTCCAATTGCTGCTACCTAGGAAAATAAAAAAAATTTAATTTCAATAAGAATAATTTAAAAACCTTTTCACTCAAAACAGGTCTTTGGATTTTAGCTGCGTAGTTGCATAGACCTTGAACAATTTTTGAATTAATAGATCTATGAGCAATTTCCACTGCTCGATTCTCTCTATTCATCTAAATACAGAAAAGATATTAAAGAAATAAAACATTTCCAAGAAACCTTGCAAGAAACAGAAAATAATTTCATTAAATTTGCAATATAATTATTTGTTAATTGCTCTGCTTCTACCAAATGTTCTGGTCTAATTAAATCACTTTGTTGATGAATAAATCGTTCCGGAGCACGAAAGAAATTAGTATTGTGAAATAAAAATTAGGTATATATCAATAAATGATAAATATATATTTTAAAAAATATTTTATTTTTTATTACTTTCCTTCCTTTTTATTACTAAAAACACTAATATTTATAAAAGAATAGTGGAATTAATGAGTTTATTTCTGATATTTATCCCAGCCAGCACAAAGTGTATGTCCTTTCATTTCAATTCCATTGATACCGGAAATAGCATTTTCCGCCTCCTGTTTAGCTTGAAATTCGCAAAAACCACGTCCTGGACGAATTTTGTTGCGGTCAAATTTAACGCTAAAATTATGAACCTTATTTGAAAATAAGACAAAAATACCACAAGGCTTTTATAACACCATAAGTAGCACACAATTTATAAATATCTCCATATGGGGCCTATTTCAATTGTCCGCAGATTCTGCATTCTGTGCACAGAACACAGATTCTGCGGAAATTCTGTTTCAATTAAATTCTGTGTGCACAGAATCTGTGGTGCCCGCAGATTCTGCGAAATCAACCACTGATTCTGTGGAAACATTCCGCAGATTCTGTGGATGAAAATTTCTGTGGAAAATATAGAAATCTGTGGATTTTTTCCACTGATCCACAGAATTTCTATTTCAATTATTTTCCTGTGGTTCTGTGTATTTTTCCTTCTAAATTCAAACTTTTTATTTCCGCGTTTTTGAAAATAAAGTGTTATTGAAACGAAAAATGGTTAGGACAGTTCGGTACTACTGCAGTATTAATGGTACCTGATTTTTTGAAGAAAAACTTTAAAAATTCTTAAATTAAACTGAAAAATATTGTAAAAATTTAAAAATTTTCCCTCCAAATCACATAAAATCCATTTAAATCTTTTAGATATCACTTTAAAACCGCTGATATACCGCTTAATTTTCTGGTTCATCCAATATCCTTAAATCCCCAATTAAATTAATGTTTCGGATCGGAAAAATCAGGAGATGGAAAAGTCAGGAGACTACGATAGATGTTGTTGCAAGGGAGGGAAATGTTACAAAACTGGGGATTGTTTAGTCAGAAATTGAGGTTCCTGGAAATCGAAAATGCCTGGAATCCAAAATTTCAGTCATCGGAACTTGAAAATCGTAGAGGAGGGATTAAGTGGGATATCCATTGATTTTGAGGTTTAATATATTGGAGGGATTAAGGAGGAAATCTATCATTAAATAGGAGGAGAGATTATGACGGATATCAATGAGAGATCATAGGAGATATCCCAGGCTAGATATCCTCAAGAGATCCCGGGGAAAAATCCCCTCATTAGAGATATCCATGATGATTAGAACATCATAGCTCTAAATTTCAGAATCTCTCGCGTTTTTTTATTTTTTTATTGCTTGGATATAACAAAAAATGCTAAAAAATGATGTACCTTTTTCAAAATTAATTTTAAGTAATAATTTTAAGTAACAAAATTATAATTTTTATATCGAAAAATAGAGAATGAATCAAACTCTAATAATCTTTAAAAATTCTAAAATTTGGTTAAGCCTAGGCCTAGAAAAAAATTTTTAAAGTTTTTCCGTAAAAAATTCGCAGAAAAAATTTTAGGGTGGATTTTTTAATGAATTCTGTGTATTTTCCGCAGACCACAGAAATAATTGAAACAGAAATGCACAGAATCGACTAAAAAAGCCACAGATCTGTGGATTTTTTTCTGTGCACAGAAAAATAATTGAAATAGAATTCTGTGGTTTTTGCATGTTTTTGGATGTTTTGCAGAATCTGTGGATGTTTCCACAGATTCTGTGCATGTTTCCACAGAATCTGCGGACTCCTTTTTCCGCAGAATCTGTGGAATAATTGAAACAGAATTTCTGTGGTTCTGCGGTCTGTGCACAGAACGCAGACCACAGAATCTGTGGACAATTGAAATAGGGCCATGGTGTATTGTACGGAATGTTATCAACTAAATGTAGAAATATAAACTATAAATGTGGATATAAAAGCCCGAATTTATACTAAATAAAAGACTGACACGATTGGACCTGTTCATGGATACGGATAATTTTCGATACCACGGATATATATGGATTCGGACACATATAAATAGTGCTCCAAACTTGGCCTCATCACTAAAGACCTTTTAATAGCCATTAAATTTAAACAAAATCTCCCCAAATTTTTAAATTTACTATAGATAATAAATAGCGGTGCATTCATATTTTCGTCTCCAAAATTTGTTTAAAATTTGAAAGCTGAAAAATCAAAAATCCAAATTAGAAAATCCTTAGTTAAGCGGTTTAAGTAAATTTTTGTATGTATTAAAACATTCGTTTAAGTTCGAAGTTAAAAAATTTTTTATTTAATAAAATTTATATAGGTATGTAAGAGATCCTCAAAATTAAAAAAATTTAATAAATTAAAACATAAAACATCAGTCAAGATTTTTTCTTTATAATTAAATGTAATAATTTCCAAAAAGTATTTGCCTAGAAATAAAAAAATTAGAAAGTTTAAAAGAAGGTACAAACGCATTTAGCCCATAGGAGTCATACAGCATTTTCTTTAGAATTTTTGATTGGAAATAATTGCAACAATCCCGAGAACGAGGAACTCTATTTATTTTATAATCATTATTTTTCCAGACAAAAATGTCATCATCTCGTAATCCAAAACATTCCAACTGAAATTTAAAAAAATATTTTTAGTTTTAAACTGAAAATAACATCAAAATGAAAAAAGGCTTTCAATCTTCCATTGTTTTTTAGAATGGTGGCGATTTGTTGATAGAACATTCCCAATTCAGTTTTACCACAAAATAATGTACATTTAAAGGTTTCTAAATCCTAAAATTTTTAAATATAAAATATTAGGAATTAAATTCTTACTCTTAAACTATCAAATATCCTCAGTACATAATCCATTCGCAGAAAAAACTTCATATCGTAGCGAAATTCAATGTTCTTAAATAATAACAGTATACTTGTTAATATCTTAATTCTTACTTTTAAAGTGTTTCTTTTATTCAAGCTGTCTAATACATCAAATAAAAAATCATCAAAGCTTTGCCAATCAAAAACAAACTGAAATTTATTAAATTAATTTATAATAAAATTGATCAGAAACGTCATGAAAGGGTGCTACGCCAAACTCGTCAGTTAAAACAATTTGTAAAGAAAGAGAAGAAAGTTTTTTAAAATTGTAAAGCTCTAATAAATCATTTTGATTTTCAATCCCAGTTCCACTGTTTGACCACTCAAAATCCAAATGTATTAATTCCTCACAATTATAGGCAATTACTGATAAATCAGTCTAAAAAAATTTTAAATAAAAAAATATAAATTAATGCCTTGTTGAGTTTAATTCTTTTAATCTGCAATGCTCGTAGAGACTTCAAGGATGGATGAGAATATATGGATTCCCGATCAGTTGTAATAAAAAATGGAGAGTAAAAGCTTTAAATTAAATTTTTATTATTATAAAAATATATCCAAATTAAAAGAAAACTTTTATTGAAAAAGTTTTTGATATTCATTAATAAATACCAAAGAAAGGTAAGTTAATTTGATAGGGCATTCACATGACTTAAGAAAACTAAGACTAAAGTGGGATATCACATAAAGACGGATTCTGAATATGTTAAAAAGCTGAAAATTTAAGGGCTTTGCTAAAGAAAGGATATGCTATAGAATCTATTAATTAAAAATATACCTATGCATTTTAGTACCATCAGGCTTATTTAATAATACGAAACAAAGTCTGGGACACGTTTCAATAACTTGATTTAAAGCACTGTCTGAATAATCATGCATAAATAACTGGATTAAGGTTGGAGGCAAGAATTGTTGTTGGCCAATTTCTTTAAACCTCTCAAAAATTCGATTTATTCTATTAACACGAAGGCACTTGAGTTTTTTGCAATTTTTAACCAGAAATAAAAATGCATCAACAGATTCTTCCTGCTAAAAATGAATAATTATGCAAGTATTCGAACCGACTAGATTAACCCACCCAAATTTAATTGACAAAGAAAATTAAATATTTTTAATTAAAAAATCGAACCGGTTGTAGAACTAGACCCAATGAAAGGAGATTAGGCGCTAAAAACTCCTCAATCCGATTTAAGTGCCAAACATCAATCGGTTCCTCCATAGAAAAGTGTGTAAGAGAAGTCAGTGAACGAAAATGGCGGCCGACAAAAGAAGATCTTGGTACTCCATAACAAAGACGGAGACTTTTCAAATACACTGCACAACGAAGAATTATAACATTAAACGCCTTTATCTATAAATGATAGCAAATAATTAAAATCGTATAGATAATAACCATTTTTAATTCAACGTTCCCCGATTCCATATCAAGCCAATTACATGTTTCTTTGGAGAAATTTAAATACTTTATATTACACCACTTTTGACAATCAACAGCAAACAAAGCACAAATAAGTTCAAGCCTAAGTCGACTGGTGTGATTAAAAAACTCGAAAATTGAACACTTTAAAATAATTAATAGATTAAGTTTAAATATATAAAATCCAACCAAAAGTTCTAAAGGCATTTTTGTATTGCTTTGGATCAGCATTAATTCCGATATTAAATTTTGTTTATTTATATTTAAATAAGGCAAGAAGTTGTTGTAACTAAAAGATAAATTTTTCAATAAATTATTTTAAGATATATGTAATTTGATTTAACAAAATGATAAAATAAAAATCATAAAAAATAAGATAATAATTTTAATTAAAAGAAATCAATTAAAAAGGGCAAATAAAATAAAAGAAGTGAGATTTAAGTGAAATTAAGTTTTGTATTATTTTCTTTTTGGTGGCAAAAGTGAGTCAAAAAAGTCCGGAATTGCATCAACTCGATCTTTCGGTTTTTCCACAAAACCACGACTGTTTGTTGTAGTTGAACCAATATTTTTTGAAGGTGTTTTCTTTGCTCTCTGAAAAAATATTAGGTTTAAATAAGTTTTAGTCTTTAATAATTGCCTTGAAAGGATTATTAGCAGGACTGCTATCGAGAAGAAATGAATCTGAAAGTAATGCAGATCCAAGTGCAGAACTAGCAATGCTTGTATTTAACTCTCCTTGTTCATCGTCTTCTCCATCACTGGGAATACTTGAATTTTCAATAATTTGGTAATTATGTTCTTTTTCATTTGTTCCAATAACTGTAAAGCCATCGTCCGCATTTTCTATTGGCTCAACATTTTCATCAATTATTCGCATTTTGCTAATATTCTTCCTTAATAATTTTTGAATTTTTGAAGAAAATAATTTAAATATATACCCAGAATCAACTGGAGAATTACTTGTAGTACTTGTAAAAAGCGAAGACGGAGTTTTTCTTTTAGCCACAAGAATTTTAGAAGGTGCAATTATAGGCGATCGAATTTCATTGATAATGGATGAAGATGAGGGAAGCGACGGATGAATTTTTCTTTTAAATTTTGCCCTCTCATCTTCTTTATTTTTTTCATTTTCAATTGCTTGAAGACGTTCACGTCCAATTGCTGCTACCTAGGAAAATAAAAAAAATTTAATTTCAATAAGAATAATTTAAAAACCTTTTCACTCAAAACAGGTCTTTGGATTTTAGCTGCGTAGTTGCATAGACCTTGAACAATTTTTGAATTAATAGATCTATGAGCAATTTCCACTGCTCGATTCTCTCTATTCATCTAAATACAGAAAAGATATTAAAGAAATAAAACATTTCCAAGAAACCTTGCAAGAAACAGAAAATAATTTCATTAAATTTGCAATATAATTATTTGTTAATTGCTCTGCTTCTACCAAATGTTCTGGTCTAATTAAATCACTTTGTTGATGAATAAATCGTTGCAACTCGATAGTCATCAATTCTGCCTCCAATTTTCCTTTTTCTGAAGTCTAAATTAAAAATATTTTAATTGATAACAAAATCTATTGTTAATTATAATTCTATTCACCGGATTAATAACTGGAATTTTAAGAGGAGTTGTATTTGTTGGCAAAGATGATTTGTTCACTGGTGGATATTTGGAGTTGCGACAATAAAAATAACGAAAATAAGCATTTGGAAGTTCACATAAAGCAATTGGCCAAATATAATCATCGTCTGGATTTTTCAACAGATCCATTCCCAAAAGTACAGGAAACCAAACTCCTTTGGCTTTTAAATAAATTCGAATGTTGCATTCTGAAAAATATTTTTTAGAAAAAGATTTTAGCAATTCAAATTAACCATCATCCATCGAAACTAAATTGCCAAAATTTGTAAAATTAAGCCATTGAAGTTTCGAGTAAAGCGACATAGCCAAAGGTATAGTATATTCTAGAGAAGGTGCACATTCCCCAAATAGTGAATTAACTTCGTATACATTAACTGCAAGCTAAAATTAAAAAATTGTGTAGAAAACTCAAATTCATTTTGTAACCTGATGTTCATAATCATCATCTGTAATGACAAGTACGGCACCGGTAACGTAAGCAACTGCTAACTTGTTTTCGTGTGCACAAATCGTATGAAAATGTCCTAAATAAAAAAAAATATGGAAGAATATGTGATGAAACCTGGAATCGAAAAAACAAAACGTTGCGTGCCGCCAGAAGTGAAAATACGCAAAAATCGAAGATCGGTAGCGATGGCAATAAAATTTTTGCCAATGCAAAGTCCTTCAATCTGTTCGCCTTCATCCATTACTTGAGTCCATTGACGAGCATCGTGATCCCAACTATTTCAATGTAATATAAAAATCATTTAATTAAAAACTCACCAAGTAACGTGATTAACAAACAATACACTCTCCACATTTGAATCTTTCTTTGAAGCCAAGGCAATTATATCAGCACCAATGCTGCCATATACATACTTTGATCTTGAATTGTCCATAATAATTTCATGATGAATACTTGAATCATGAAAGTTTATTTCGATTGAACTTTCGTCGTTGCTGTCGTTTAGACTTTTGATTATTCCAAAAGTATTCCAAGCCTGAAAAAATTTTTTTTTGAGATTTAAATGGCTAAAGTATTTTTCTGAATTAGATAAAATCTATTTTTTATATATCTACATATAAATAAACATTCTTGAAATCAATAACTAACCAAAAATCTTCCGCCATCATCAGAAGCAGGTGTTGATCCGATAGAGAATGGTTTAGGTACTCGCATTCCTTTTATTGTTGTACAAGGATCTTTTTGTGTAAGCATATTTGCCAGGTCATTAGTATTGAAAAGTTTTCTTTCGCCAGCTGGAATATCGCTTTGGCCATAACCGAATTGTGACTTAAATTTTATTGAAAATTAAAAATAAATTCTTAATTTTTACCTTTATTAAGCCAAGATCTGTCTCCATTTCTAAAAATAAAAATTATTTAGAATTTACCAAAAAAATGTTTTACCATCAAATTTATCATCATTATCAATTTCAACAAGCTCTCCACGATTATCTTCAGCATTATTTTCAGAAACAACTGAAGAGGGACTTCCAGCTTCAACCATATTGCGTGAATTATTTATTTTTGCATTAACTTTGCCTTGTAGTGAAGTGCAAAACTGTTCGAAACGAGTATCAACAGCATTACAATCCGTCATTGAACAAATATATCCCTCAAATTAATTTAAAGAAATATTTAGAAATTGGAAAAAAACCTCCGAAAATGCGATTAACAACACATCAGAACTTTGAGGATTAAAAGCAATCGAAGTAATAATTCCAATATCTGATTGAATCTTTTTGTAAACATTAATTAATTGAAATTTTGAATCAGAAATTCGTTTCCAGATAACAATAGAGCCCTCAGTCGTCCCAGCAGCTAAAAACGATTCATTGGACGAGTTAAGAGATAAAACAGAAAAATTTTCCTAAAATCAAAATTAAAAATAAGGAGTAAAAATAAACAAACATAATCAACATCTGGATGTGTAAGCAATGTCTTTCTATCCCATGTCAAACAATCAACAACAATAATTCCACCTCTTCCGGGAATAAATAAATATTTGCATTGAGGATCCCATACACATTGAATTCGAGGGCATTGAATTCTGAAATTAACGAGAAGGAAAAATATTAAAACAATTTTAGTTTGAAAAATACCCTTATAAATTAAACTTAAAAAATATTTGGTGATTGCTAAATCACAATCGAGCAACAAAAATTGAATTAAAATAATAAAAAATAGCCTACTTTGCTATAGAGAATTCATTACAAGCCTTAAACTTGGCAATCGGTTTCTTGGAAGTGGAAGTTTGTTGATTTTTTTGAATTGGACGAATATGGACATTCCCATCAGATGTCGAAACGGCAAAATACTCTCCACTTGGACTTATTGAAATGTTTAAAATTGCAGCTTAAAATTGTCAATATTTTATTTCAAACGATTTAAAAAATACCTTCAAATTCATAACGTTCAATGGATGACTGGCCTGAGGTAGTATCCAATCGGACAGATTTAACCATAAAATCACTTAAATCTCAATTTAAAATAATTTATACAAAATTAAAACAAACCCTGAACCTGCAATTAAATAAATTCCATTCGTTGCCAAAGCAGTCACTTCAAGAGAAAATGATAAAAATGCATGAGAAGGAAGAAACGATGAAAGACCATAACGAACAACAACTTGCTGATCAACGCCAGTAATTACATCTTGACTTGTTTGGGCCAAATAGACATCTTCTCCCTATATAAAATTTAATAGAAAATGAAAAATAGATTGAAATGAATTAGTGTGAAATGAAAAACTCGGAGAAAAAAATTCACAGAGAAACGGATAAACTTATAGTTATAAAAATAAAAAGATACAAAAACAGCCAAAGCGCCGTGACATCTATCAGCTGTGTTTCTTATGTCCACATCGAGTGAACCTCGTTCATTACACGTCCACAAACCAAATGTATCATCAGAGCTGCAACAATAAATCTAAAAAGAAAATTAAACCAAATCTAATGTTATTTCTAGTTTATACATTTTTTTGATCAGTTTGACTTTGATCTACAGCAAGAGTGAGTCGACCATTTGCATGAATCCGTTTTGAACGAGTAATTACCATCCTTTAAAAATCTAGTTGTAATTAAAAGATAATTGTAAATGAATACAATTAGAATGTTAAATATATTTTTGATTAATTTAAAATAATTAATTATAACAGAAAAATTAAATTTATTGTTAGCATATTTATTTTCACAAATCATAAAATTGAAATGTACAAATATATATAAATGGATTGGACATAAAAACAAGAATAATTAAGTAAAGTCCAATCCCCATTATTATCAATTTTTGAGTGAATGATTATTTTATAAGTACACTGAAAAAAAATATTTAAAATTGAGATAAATCATCACAGGGAAGGCTCCTTTCTAAAGGCACAAGTAATTTTATTGCAAACGTCCCGAATCTGTTGTTTGCTTCCTTTCGCCCCCAAGCCAAGTAAATCAAGTGGTTTTTCGTCGTGGCTAAAATTAAAAAAGTTGAAAAAACAGAAATAAAATAGTTAAATTCAAAACATTAAGGCAGGGAAAGGCGTCAAGAGCAATTGCTAGTAACTTTAAAGGTTTTTAAAAGAATTAATACACCCCAACTATATACTTATATTCTTCCTTTAGAAAGTACATTTGTTAAAAAAATCGAACAAAAATATTTGAAAAATTAGAAAAAAATTTGGACAACCCAGGAGAATTGTGGTCCCTGCGAAAAAAAAAGTTTAAAAATAAGAAAAAGGTTTTTTCTAGGGTAAAAAATTATGCTGATTAAGAATCTGAACTCAGATTTTGAAAAAGTCGAATCCTGAACACGAATATATGCCCTCGAATATCGAAAAACCATAGGGGGGACCAAGCTAATTTTGGGGTGAAAAATTGGAATATGCAAATTATACCTCACTCGAAAGAGCTCTTCAAGCTGAGTCGAATGACACCAAAATCACCGTGATTGAACAAGATCGGACGAAGTTATACCACAAAAAACAAACAACGTAGGCCAGGCCCGTAGCCAGGGGGGGGGGTGAGGGGGGGAATTCCCCCTCCCCCCCCCCCCCGAAATGGGAAAAAGGAAAAAATTTGGGGAAGGGCTGGGGCAAAAAAAGTGAATTTTTTGGCCTACGGCCTCTGAAATTTAAAAAATTTTCGCCTGCGGCGCTAAAAAAGGAAGAAATCTGGCTTCTTGAGGTCCAAAATTCAAAAAATTTTCGCCTGCGGCGCTGAAAATCAAATTTTTGGCGCCTGCGGCGCCGAAAAAGTGAATTTTTTTGGCCTACGGCCTTCTAAAATTCTCAAAATTTTCGCCTGCGGCGCTGAAAATAAAAATTTTTGGCGCCTTCGGCGCCAAAAATTTGGCGCAGAAAAATTTTTCCCCCTTTCCCCCCCCCCCCCGAAAAAAAATCCTGGCTACGGGCCTGACGTAGGCCTATGTTTTTTGTGTCATAACTTCGCCTGATCTTGATCAATTGTGATGATTTTGATGTCATTCGACTCTGCTCGTCGAGCTCTTTCGAATGAGATATTATTTGGCCAATTTGCGCTCTGTTTATTATACGAAATTTTCCCAAAAATGTCAAATGTTCGAATTTCGGGTTCGAATTTGATTTTTTCAAAATCTGAGTTCAGATTCGTGATCAGCATATTTTTTTACCCTAGAAAACCCCTTTTTCTTATTTTTAAACTTTTTTTTCGCAGGGACCACAATTCTCCTAGATTGCCAAAATTTGCAAACTTGTTTATCGGCTCTCGTTTACAAACACGAAAATTCAATAAAGCATCAACTATTTCAAAATTGGCCATTTTACATGCATAATGTAAAGGTGTGTAATTCTGCAATTTATCTGGTGTGTTCAACATAGCATCTAATAAATTTGCAGAACGTTCAATAACACAAGTATCGGTAGAATAGGCATTTGTAAGCCAAGCTTTGTCGCAAATGAAAGTAAGAATTTTTTGCACCTAATAATGTTAAAAATAATTTTTAGACTTTTAAATGAGCATACCGCCACAAAATTAGAGGCACGACAGGCAACATGTAAAGCATTATAACGATTACCAATTTGTATTATTGTCGGCTAAAATTCAAAACTTATATTTTTTAAAAATAAAAATTTTATTTAAAGTCTAAACCAAATCATTAGAAGTATTGACAAGAAAACGGGGACTCTCACTCAGTAATTCATCAAATTTAGCATGATCCCCCTTCTCAATTGCCACTCTAAAATCTGTCAGTCTTCTCGCAGGAATCTCTTTGTAAGGCAAATCTTGTTCTATACTAGAGCTAGATGAATTGTTGTCTTCCGTGCAAGTGCTGGCAGAGAGTTGTTCATTATAAAAACTATCAAAATCATTTTCATCTTGGCACCGTTTAAAGCGTGTTCCTAAAAAAACAAAATTTATTTAAACCAAATTTAAATCAAAACCTTTTCTTTTCCCAACTGGAGAATCCAAAAACGATTTTAATTCGTTAAAGTTGTGAAAAGCATAACGTTCAGGCGAGTCTGGAACAAAAGCCGCAAAAATTTTAGAATTGGTCCGTTTAATCTAAAAATGTGAGAGCAAATAATTTTTAAAGAAATTTTTTTAAACCTTTGGAGTTACAAAAGTTGGAGGTAAAACAGATTCAAGCTGTGATTTAGGTTTTTCTGGTGATCCTTGTTCGCCTTGAGAACAATTTGATGCATTTGAATTAGGATCCAAAGCGTTTAAATTTTCCGAATCAGTAATAGTTGGTTGAGGTAAAGAAGTACTCCAATATCTTGATAGATAATTTCCCATCTTTTAAAGTTAATTAAATCTAAAAGCAACTGAAAAAAAATTAGTTGCGAGTAGAAAAAAACAAAAGAAGAAACAAAATGAATCAAAAATTCATGACATTTTGATAAACGACGTTTTAAAAACGATGTTTTGTACTAAACACAGGGTGAAAAGCGACTTTTAAGTAAACGACAAAACGACACAGACAATATGGTCTGCGACTTTGGTCTTGTTGAATTAATATCGTTTTTTATTTTTTCCGTTTATTCTCTTAAGATTTTCCGTTTACAAGGATAATTTACAACTTTTATTTTTAATTTCCAATGTTGTCAGCAACTGGAATTTTAAGGAGAATATCTTTCCCATCTTTTGCTTCAACATGTGAGTGTTTTTAATTTTAATAAAACTTCAAATACATTTTTAGATTCAACTACAATGGAGGAAATGGATGAAATACGTGCTAGAAGGTAAACCAAAATTAATCCTCAGTTCGTACTTTTTTTATTTTTAGTTTACTCAAACACACTTATGTTTACAATCCACCAGATGAACTTGATAATATTATTGTAAACGCAGCAAAACATCACGGACTTCAATTAGATCCTTCTGATTGGAAAACCACTGAAATACCTTTAGATAGCATAAAATCAAAGGTTTTAAAAATTAATATTTTATTTAAATTTTTTAGTTTCTTCTTGATCTCGGGCGTTCTCTTAAACATCTTGTTCCAAATTCTAAGCTTCATAAAATGAAAAGTCTACGTGATTTATTCGAATTTTATGAACAGCCAGTCAATAATATTACAAAATACGCGGAGCTCGCGAGGAATGAGAAATTGCCTCAAAATCTTGCAATAATGGGTAAAATTTATTTACTCTGATTATTAAAAATATTTTTAGAACAACCGAGGCGTTTTCATCCAAATGACAAAACTGCTTTACATGGGGGAATAACTGCAAAACCGGGTGAAGGAGGAGCTATTTATTCAATAAGAAATAAAAGGATCTATCGAGAATTTAAACCAAAAAAGGAATGGTTCGACTATGATGATCAAAATTTTGATTATGACGTTACTTTATCGAAAGGTTTTTAATTTTTCTAATTTTAATTGAAGTCCAGAATTAGCTATCATTTTTGGGAATATAATATACTCGGCGAACAGGGGCGTAGCCAGGGCTCGATTTCATGGGGGGGGGGGGGCTTCAGCCCCCACTGGCAACGCTCTTCTTGTCGAATAGAGATGAAGGAACTCTTAAAACCGAACACAATAATTCATTAAAATTTTCAGGAATGCCTTGGGATCCTGAAATTGCAAATAAAATGGATTGCTACACAAATATCAAATTTACAAAGGAATATTTGCGCAAAATGAGATAAATTTTAAGTTTTTCACAGTTATATTAGATTTATTAAAATAAAAAATGGAATGTTAAAAATGAAAATTTCTGTTTAAAAAATAGAGGGGTTTAATCCGAATTTTTATCAGTGTTGGCACTTTCTGTGCTTTTACTTCTTTCCTTTCCTCTCTTCTCACCAAAAGTAATTTGAACGTTGGCATTATCAAAATACGTTTCGCGACTATCTTCTTTAAGTACCAATGCATATCCTCGTTCATATAATTGAAATCTTCGAGCCAAGGTCATCTAAAATTTTAGAAAAAGTTAATTGCAGTAACCCTCCCCGGATGGTCAAAAAAATGAATAATTTACAAAAGTTCTGACGTGCCAGAGAGAGTTGCTCTAACTTATAAAGAAATTAAATACCTTTTTCTGTTGGATGAATTCCTCAGCTGCACGATCACCATCCTTCCCATAAGAAGCAAAATTTTTTTGAATAGCCTAAAAATGGAAGATTATTTTTAATAAGAAAAATCTAGATATATTAGAAACATTTTAAAATACTATAGGGCATAAAAATCCTAAAGGTTTTCTGCCTAAACAGAAACTAACAATCAAGCTAAAACAAAGCCCTAGTCAAACCAGATTTAAATAAAATTTAAGAAGCCAAACCTCCATTCCCTTAATCGGAATAATTGTGAACGACCTCTGGCATGATTGGCCTTCTTCCATCCTTGTTAATTGACCTTTTTGTTAATATTAGTAAAAAAATGAAAAAATTTTAATTAATATTAATTAATATTGCAAAATTAATATTGCCGTTGAAAAATTCTTTAAAAAAGAAAATTTTATTTAAATATAGAAAGTAAAGAAAAATCACAAATAGATAACTAAAAAACAGGTTTCAACCAAGACCATTATCTTCGAAAAATCCTTGTGTAGTCTCCTCCTAAATTAAAAAAAATAATTGATTGGTGGATCACCCACAACGTTAGCGATAATTTTTTTCGTTCTAGACATTCATAATTTTTAAATTTTTCAGAGCTCACGTCTGTGAGCTCAATTGAATAAGAATGGCTTATTGTTAGAAATGAATATAAGAGCTCAATCCCCTCTATTATACCTATTTTTCAATATTTAAAACTAACGTCTTGCAAAAGATCCTGAGCACTGATTGCCTTCAAAACTTGCTTTTTACTTGTTTCCTGAACTTCTCCAGCCAGCAAAAATTCGTCCAATATAAAATAGGCCTTTTCAAAGTTGAATATTATATCTAGTTCACAAACCTTTAAATTATTTTATAAACAATAAAATTCAAAACAAACATACACTTCCAAAATATCGATCCAATAATTCAACATAACGATGAATAATTTCCAAACAAATAAGCTCATTGTCTGATTGCTCAATTGTACAGCAAAAATATAGAGAAGCATATCTTTATTATTTTTAAGGCAAATTAAAATAACCAATTAATATACCTTTTGTAAACAACTTTTAAATCTTTATATTCCAAAAACGCACACATCTTCGGCTTCCTCGCTAAAATAGTTGTGACCAATTCACGTGTGATTTTCTTTTTAACCTATTTTAAGTTTAATATGTTAAAAATTAAGAGTTAAAAACAAACCTTATCAGGATATGCTACATACCATTTCTGTAAACGAAGTTTACCTTGTCTGGAAAACAGTAACATATAATGTATCATGTTTAGTTGAAAAAATTTTTCTGTAAAAATTTTAAGAAATATGCAAATTAACATAATAGAAGTATAAAAACGAAAATATTACAATTAAAAATTATATTCTTCAAATGAAAATTTTAGAATTTTATTTAGATTTGGCAAAAAATCATAACGATGTTCATTAAAAATAATTACAATAAATCCCCGTAATTGTAGAATTTTAGTTTTTTATGTTCCCAAAATAAATTTTGGAGATTTGAGTCGGGACGGGTTTGAGGTTCATTTAAAATCGATATTTCGAAAAAAAACCTCGATAACCGAGATTTTTGAAGCGTCTTATGTAAGTACTATTACCCCATCCCGCCTATATTTTTGGGCATGGCTTATTATTAACGATAGCAAAATGAAATATTAAATTTATATTAGGAAAATATTTAAAATAGAAATCTCATTAGTATTTTAAGAAAATAAAAGTCAAAAATTAATTATTATGTATCATAAATATTATTTAGTTTTTAAATCCGTTAACTTTGAAATATTTCTTTGCTCCTTGATTTTAAGGCATTTATTAACCAATTGACACTCTTTTTTACACCGGCATTTTGTTTTGCCTGAAAAAACATTTTTTTCACAATCATAAAAAGCTCTCCTTAACAAAACAAAATTATTTATCAGACTTACAGAAATTGAGAAAATAGCCACATCTCCTTGCAAAACTTCTCCCAAACGGCTGTCAATTTCTGATTTTATTTCAGCCGTCATTGGCGTCGATAAAGGAATTGTTGACGAAAAAGAAGACGAACCATAATCACTATTTTGTTCCCAATCTCCATTAATTCCTTCGGTGTTGTCTAATTCAAAGCTTCTCCATCCGCCAGAAGTTGACTGAAATGTTGTTTGTTGAAAATCGTCTTTGCTCATATCACTTGAATTTTCATTATCTTTAATTACATAATCTTCTTTATATCCATTTATTTGTAAAGGAGACATTTCATTATCACATTTATTTAAAAGGACGAGGAAAGGTTGTTTTTGTACATTTGAATTTGACAAAATCTGTTCTACAAGAAAAATTGAAAAAAATTTTAAATCAATTTAAATAAACCTAAACACGAAATAGCTTCACTGGAGCGTTGACTATCAACAGAATCTACTACAAAAACAGTGGCGTGACATTCTTTTATATAATCATCCCAAATATATCTGAGATCTGCTTGGCCACCCAAATCACATAAATTCAAAATAAATTCGTTTAAGACAATTTTGGAGTCTAAAAACAGAAAAGAAAATTTTAAAAAAATAATAGGTCAGACGATTCAATCCAACAGTGCTAGTGATTTTGTGTAAATCGCGTTCTTTATGCCTACTGTCTAGTAACCTCTTGACCATTTCTAAGTAGGTCTGAAAAATAAAAATAGAGAAAATTATTTTCGAATAGAATATTAAAAATTGTTTTACTTAAGGATCCGTAGATACTTTTGTCGTGGTTTTAACCCATATACATATAAGGTTAATTACAGATTAAATTTATGGGAAGTCAGTGTTGAGAAATGCCACTTATTATATGGCCAAAAGAGGACCGGACAATTTTATACATAACTTTTGGCCCTTTTCTACAAGGGCCAAAAGTTCTGCGGGATAAAAATATCATGCTGGCAAAAATATACTTAACTAACCGTTTTTCCAGCTCCGTCTAGACCTAAAATTGTTATAAAATATTCTTCGCGCTTTGAAATTTCTTCATAAACACCCTTAACCAATGCAAACATACTCTAAATTTTTATTTAAAAAAATAAATTTTAAATAAAAAACAATGAAGAATAGACAACTTCTAAAGGAAAAAGATTTAAAAATTCAAAAAAATTTATTTTAAAAAAGTTATTATAAACCCTTTTTCTCTATATTCTTGGCTAATTCTTCATTATAATTTCTATATTCTGGCTTAAGCTCCCACATTGATTTATGAGGTGCACTGTCATGGTAAAGACCAATATCGTTTAACTTTAAAATATAAATTTTATTTATGTCAAAATAAAAAACAAAATTGACCACATCTCGCACCATACCCGCTGGTTGATTTGTCAATTTTTGGAGATCAATTTGCCTGAAAAAATAAACAAAAATTTTAATTTTAAGGAAGTCTTTCTTAAAAAAGTATCTCCTCAATTTTTAAATTTATGATTTTAATTCAAGTTGAGAAAATCTCCCTAGACACATTCACAACAAGTGAAAGATATAAAAACGGCAACGATTTCCGAGGAAAAATTCTATGGATGTAGCTTTTGAAGTAAGTTGAAGCAATTATTTACATATTTACAAACCTATAAAACTGATGTTTCTCAAATGCATGAAAAAGCAATTTTACAACATCATCCTTTTCCAACCGAACAGCTCGTGTTCCTTCTTTTTTAGCTTTATCTTTAGCTATATGTTCTTGGTGAGCATTTATTGGTTTGTATTTAACAACAGCCCGTTCAACTTGTTGCACAGTTTTTTTCGGTTGACTAATCTTTTGTATTTGTTGAATCTTCATTTTCATATAATCAACAGAATTTGGTGGTTGACATTCAGCGCGAATAACAATCTGAAAAAATATTTTTGAGATTATCTTGTAAATAATGAACGGAAAAAAACTAGAAAAATTCAAAGGAGTAACTTAAACTTGAAAGAATGGATATGACAAAAAAGTATAAATTTGTAAAAATATTTAAAAGTGGAGGGAAAAATTCAATTTGCTCCCGAAGATATTAACATATACCCCTAATTACTAAAAATTAATTAAATGCTAGAAATAGAATTTATGGATTTACCATGTGCTTCCATTTTATAATAATGTCAAAAAATTTCTTACCCTTCCTTCAATGCTTAATTTTCCAGTTACTAATTCAGAATCTTCCTCTAAACCAGATTTGTCTTCAGAGAGAACAGCAAAGGATTGATTCTTTACATCTCTGCAAAAAACAATATTCTCGTTTAAAATTATTCCAAAAACCTTGTAATAAATTTGTGTTGCTGAGGAATATCCATAATTTTGGAGTCAGTAGATTTTTGATTTACTTTATTTTGTGAAGAATTAAATACCGATTGCTTGTCTGTAGATACTTCAGTAATATTGCTATGAAAAATTGTTTCTCCACCAACTTGATGAACTAATCTGCCAACAACTTCCCCAGCCCTCTTCTCCCAAACTTCAGAAAGATAACGAGGCACTTTAACTAACCATATACCCCTCGAGGCTTTTTCTGTACTAACAGGAGGAACAGGATCAGATGCTGAACGTTTAGTTGCCATTTAAAAAAAAACTAAAAAATGATAGAAAAATATAAACAAACCAAGAAAAGGTAAATATTGAATATTACAAATTAATAAAATAAAGCTAAATTACAATTAAAATTTTTTCCAAATAATTAACATGTCAAAAATTTAACATTTTTATTATAAATTATTAAGTAACAATCAGCGTTTCAAAAGCCGATTCCCACAGAAAAGAGTAAGCGATCCGATAAGTGCAAGCCATTTGAGGGTTTCAAACATGTCTAAAAAATAAATCGTTAAAAAATTCCCAGAAAATTATTGTAAAAATATAAACAGTTCCCCAAGAATAATAATAATAAAGCGAATTAAAGCAAAAAATACCTGTATCAGAACGAAGCCAATGAGAAGCATAAAGACCAAATATAGCAGACAGACCAGTATGGAAGCCTGAAATGTTAAATTGTTTTAGTATAAAAATTAAATAAAAAAATCTGAAAAAACCTAGAGTCCAAGGAAATTTCATGTTGCCAAAGTTAAAGCCGACACGGAACCACTGAAAATAAATTATTGAAAATTTCTACAATATTTTTAAAAAATAAATAAAAACTAAAAATCATTTTAGGTAATTATTAAAATTAAAAATAAACCAAGAAAAGCAAAATTAACAAAGGAGCAGCACATATAGCTGAGAAGACATCAGAAACGATAACAGGAGGGCGAGAATCACTCACTTGAAATTGGTGCTGAATTTCAGGCAATTTTTCGTAATTAAATTTCATTTTAAATGTCTGAAAAACGTTTAAAATGTTGTATAAAAAAGTAGAGTGTATATAATTTACTCAGAAATAGTTTAAAAAAATATCCGATCCCAGCTGATCATAAAAAAAATTCAGCCACGCGCGAATTCCAAAAATAAATACAAAGTGCCAAAAAACTTTAATCTGCCAAAAAAGTTTATTTAAAAATATTTACTATTTCGCTGTTTCTCTAATTCTTTTCCTCTTTATTTGAGTCTGAGTGCTATTAGAGTCTTCATCAAGTTGGTTAAAGATCTGGTACTTTTTCTCTATGATATGATTGACACGTTGATTAGTTCATTTTTGTAGTTGCTTTAGAAAGTTTATATTTTAATTTCTTAGTTATGTTCGCCTGTATTGTATGTTGGTTATTGTACTTTCAATCTTCATTTGCGCAAATTGAACAACCTCAAATATTAAGACGATTCGAATACAAACACTCATTTAGAACACCACATCTTGCTCAAAGAGATGGAACGATTCCATTTTGGACAGTTACTGGTGATGCCATTGCAAGTGGTGAACAGCTTAGACTTGCACCTTCAATGAGAAGCAAGAAAGGACTTGTAAGTTTCTAATTTTAACATAAGTTTATAAATAAATTTAGGCTTGGAATAAACGTCAATTTGTGGCAAGTGATCACTTTGAACTTGAAATTGTTTTTAAAGTAACAGGCCAAGGACGTATAGGCGCTGATGGATTAGCAATATGGTATCTCCTTCAATTTTTTGTAAATTAGTATTTTAATTTTAGGTATACAGCACAACAGGGGACTATAGGACCGGTCTTTGGTGCTAACGATTTCTGGACTGGTATGGGAATTATGCTTGATTCTTTTGACAATGATGGTGGAAAAAATAATCCTTCAATTTCTTTAATGATAAATGATGGTATTTTTTAAGATTCTTTTAAGTATTTTCTTAACATTTTCTAGGAACTCGTTCTTTTGATCATCACACAGACGGCTCTTCTCAGGTTTTAGGATGTAAGTTTATAATATCTACCCTTCTATTTAAGTTTCGAGATTAATCCTTTCTTTTTTTTGTTGAAAAGAGAATAAATTTCTGTGTGTTTGACAAGAAAGGTGCTTACAATTAATTTTGAGATTTAAATAGAGCGGGATTGATTTAATAAAAATTAGTTGGTATTTTTTAAATTTAGCTTGTCACAAAGACTTCCGTAACAAACAATTTCCCGTCCATCTAAAAGTTATTTACCTTCGAAATGTTCTCACTGTGCTTGTTTCTGATGGGGTTGTGCCTACACCTCGATATGAGCTTTGTATTCGTGCTGAAAACGTTTTTCTTCCAAAAGCTGGATTTTTTGGTGTTTCTGCTGCTACTGGTGGATTGGCTGGTTAATTTTAGTATTTTATCAATGGCAACAATTTACAAAAATCTAGACGATCATGACATTCTGGACTTTTCAACCTTCGCGATCTTTACGGATCCTGCTCAATTAGAACATGCCAAGCAACAATTAGCGCAAGAAGAGAAAGCGAGAGCTGAAGCAGAATTTGAACGTCAACAGGCCGAATTTCAAAAAGAACGCGAGAAATATAAAGAACAACATCCAGAGAAGGCGAAAGCTGCTGACCAAGATGATGCTTCTAAATATTATGAGGATGCTCAAATGCGAGAGTTACGGCAAATTTATGAAGCTCAAGCTCAAATTTATAAGGTGATGCAAACAATGGAGCAAAAATTGACTGATATTTCCAAACAACAAATAGTTCATACAAGTCTTTTACAAGGAGGTGCTGCTGTTCCACAGGCTGGTCAACAACAAGCAACTGGTTTGCTATTTAGTTTTTAAACTTTTTGGAAAATTGGACATGAACCATTTCCATTTTTAAGTTGATCTTCGTTTAAAATCTCATCCCACGGGTCCAATAATTTAATATTTATATTTTCAGCTACAGGCGGATTTTTGGCTCATGAGAAGAACGAACTAATACAAGTTGTCCGTGAAGTAAGTGCTTCGTTACGAGATATGAAGCACTACGTGAATGGTTTGTTTTTATTTAATGTCTTTTTAATGTCTAATTTTCATAGAAATCTATACGCGTACATACAACGTTGAACAAAAAATTCAGCATGGAGTTCCTACAGGCGGTGCTGCTACAGTCATGGTGAGATTATAAAATGATTAAACCAAATACCTTCTTTCATTATTTTTTTAAGCAAATGGATCAAGCAACACGTAATTATTTGGAACAAATGCAGCAAGAAATTAAACAAATTAGAGCTAGTCAAGTTTCTCAAATACAACATCCCCCGCCTCCACCTGTTCAGCCTACACAAGATTGTCCAATGTGTATAACTACTACTCTTTTTGTATTTATAGGTTCGGAAATATGTTTTTATTTGTTAAAACTTTAATTTCCTTTAAGTTGCCTTGCAAAGTGCTGCTTTGTTTATATTCATTTTTATAAGGTAAAATTTAAATTTATTTGTTTTTTTGTAATAAACATTTTTCAGAAGCAAGAGTGATAAAGCTAAATTTTACTAAAGATTTTTTGTGATTTTTGAGTTGTTGGTTCATGGTTACTTTTATTATTTTCATAATATTCTTTTCTTGTTAATTGTTATTTGAGGTTGCTATCTTTATTTTTTTCAGTTTTCCTCTTTCTTTAATCTATTTTAGGCATATATTTAAATACTCTAAAATCGGATAAACGAATATAATTGTTTATATATTGATTTTCACATTTTTTTAGTTAACTCGTTAATATTTTTCAACCCAAACCTTTACTTTTTCTATCTTTTCTTTGTTAACATATCTCGAATTTTTTGTGGGGTTTTCTGTCTGGGTTTTAATTATCTGTTAAATATCTGCTTGAATTTTTTAGATGGGATTTTATGAATATTTTTTAAATTATCCACTAATGTTACCTTATTTTTTCTTATAACTTTTTCTTTTTTTTATTTAATTTTCATCCCCTCGTTTTTGTTTATTTGTTTGTTGCCTTTATCCGCTACACAATTCCAATAAAAAATTTTCTTTTTCGTCTAAAACCAATCTGTTTTGTAGTCTTTGTATCTTTTAATTCTTTTTCTAATCAAAAATTATGTAATTATATAATGTTCTGATTTTATTTTAAATTATTTTCTCTTTTCTGTTATTTTTTGATAAAAATGTGATGAAGGGTTTTATTCGTTTATTTTTAACATTATTTAATTTTTTTTTAAATATAATTCCCAATTATTTGTTTTTAAGATTAAAATATTTTTCTTAAATTCATTAAATATTTAAAAATTAAAAGACCCCTTTTTTCTTTAAAGAAACAAAAAATTTGACTGATTTTTATGTTTTATGGTTAACGTGATAAAATACCTAACTTTTAAACAGTACAAATTCTTTAAATAATTGTTTTATTGATAATAATGAAAAGTAAAATTGTTAAACAACGGAAATAAAAATTGTTAATTATATAATAATTAAATATATTATCATGTAATTATGTATAAAGAATTTTGTAATTATTTTTATTTAATTTTCACTAAAAGTTGATAAGAAAATTAATTTATATAAAGCGGAAATACTCCTAACCTCCTCTTAACAGTTAAAAAAAGAATTATTTTTTTTTAATTTAAAATCCGATCAGACTCGCTTAATTTTCTCTCCTTCAAATCTTCTTAGTTTATTTCAAATTAATTGGGAAAATATTAAATTTAAAAAATACTAAAAATAGTAAATAATTATTTACTTGACTCTAGTTATCAATGCACAAAATTGTTTTTGGATTTAATTTAAAAAAGCATTGGAAATTTCCGCAAATGTAGATAAAAATAAGCAGAAAAAATTTCAACAATTTGTTGAAATTATTTTAGGAATTTGATTTTTAACCATTAAATGTGTAAAAATTTTTTTTTGATAAACAAATATATTCTACATATTTTCTCAATAAATTTACATTTTTTACTTTTATATAAGTAATGTATTTGTCTTTTACATTTGTGTAATTTTGAAAACAAAATTAAAGTGATTCACACTATTTTCGTAATAATATTTTTAATTATTACCAAAGTGTCCATAATTTTATGAAATTATTTAAATTAGGTAGGTATGTTATTTTTTTAGATTAATTGCTTAAATAATTTATTTAAAATTAAATAATTTATTTATTTTTAGAATTATATTTAAAGTAGATTTACTTAAAATAAATCTCATTTTTCAATATAAATCCTCTTCCTGTATATAAAAAACTTTATTTCTTTAAACATTGTCTATATTTTTTTCAATAAAAGAATTAATCACCTTTCTATTTTTAATTTAATTTTAAAATTTAATCTTTTTTCTTTGCTTTTCCTCCAACATTTAAAGCGTACCCAATGCGAACCTCAAATTTTATTTAAAAAATACTTCTTCTTTTGAGTACTTTGACACTTTCTGTGGATGCGCAATCTAAAAAAACTTCCTTTTTTTAAATTTACTTAAAAATTTGTTTGTTTAGTAAAAAAAAAAGAAAATTTGAAATTATATTTAAAAGCTAGTCATTAAAATTAAAAAAAATTAAAGAAAAAATTAAAGTCTAACGAAATTTTAATTTCTTTTTTATTTTTAGAATTTTTTTTATTTATTTTAGATAGAAATTTGTACTTTAAAATTTTCAAAATTCATTTAAAAAGTTATATTACTTCAATTAAAATTTAAAAATATTTTTATACTTAAAGACATATGCTCGAATAAATACACTCTAAAATACCTAATTACCCTCCCCAGCGAGAAGCTGAAACGATAATTACCCAGGGAACTTATTTGAACATTTACGATATCTCATATATTTTTTTAAAAAATGCGGGTATTTTATGTAATTTTTTATAAAAGTATGATAGTTAAAATATTATTGAAATAATTAAAAATTATCATTAAATTTAATTAATTTTTATATTATATTTAACAATCATTCAAAAATTTACTCATGTAACATGAGGAAAACAATTATTCGTTTTATTCTCTCATGACTTTTTAATTATTTAAAACTGTCAATTGTTTATGTTTTTAATCAAAAATTAATTTTTAAAAATTAATTTAGTCTAAAAAATGACAATAACTTATATTTCTACAAATTCTGAAAAATTAAATAATTCATTAGAAAGAGGATTATCTGCTAAAGTAGAAGGAAAGAGTAATAATCGGTTTTCTAATAAAAAGATAAAAATAATTGCATTGACATTTATTGGAATTTGTTTAGTTTTGGCTGTTATTATTTGGGGGGTTTGTAGGTAAAAATTAAAATATATTTCTAATTATTAATTATTTAAAAATTTTAACTAAATACATATTTAAATTTAATGTAAGTTTATTTTTTAATTTAAATAAAAAAATATTTCAAGAAAAATACTAAAAAACAACAAAAACTTAATTAAAAATATTTTATTCTTTTTAAGTAAACTTTAAAAATTCTCTCTGTATTATCATTTCAAAAATTTAATTTTTATAATCAAAAAACAATTAAATTTTTACTAAAATCATTAAAAGTCCCTGGATCGCACCGACAGAAAACCAAATTCATGATTTTCGTGAATCGTAAATCAGGTCGGCGCGATCCCTGGTATGTATATTGTAGGAAATTCTAACTTGTGACAAAGCTTTCCAAATATCTTTTTTATAAAATAAATACTTCAATTTTTAGGTTTAATTCCTCATCTTCTCCCAATAAAAACAAAACAATATCTGTACCTATCAATTTATACAAAACTTCAATTTTACATATTTGGTTAAAAACTAGAGAAGAAAACCAACCAAAAAAAGCAAATATAAAAATTAAAAATGAACAAATAAATTCAACAATTGCTGAAACTAATAAATTTAAATCTTTTGTTTTCTTTGAATTATCCCCACAAATTGAAGGAAATGCTTTTTTGGAGTGGTTTAATGGAGGTAGTAAAATAAATTAAAATTTTGATAAGAAGGAAACCTTTGAAAATGTCTTGTCCGATGACATTTAATATTAATGAAAATTTAATTTATTTGATTAAATTTTTTTATATCCTACATATCCGTTAATGATCTCTATGTATAATTTTCTCTCAACATTTTGTTAAATTAATTTTCCCAATTCAAATTAAAAAACAAAAAACTAAATATATTTAAAATGCCCTAATTCTTTTTTCAGATACTTGGGTATCATATATTTATGTTTATGAACCAGAATCTGTTCTAGAATTGGGGATTCGTCCAGCATTTATTGCAAACGCAGCTAGAAATCCAGAAGTTCCGGAAGGTTATCATTTCCGTCCTCCAACTGGGTGGATGAATGATCCTAATGGTTTTAGCAAATTTGGTAAAAATTATTTAAAAATTTATCGGGGATTGAACAAAAACACTTCTTTAGTAGACATCCTTTTTAAAGTCAAGTATTGACTGATAAGAAATATTTTAACAATAGTCTCACCATATTATTCCTTCTTATTTTAACCTCTCCTTTTCAATTTTGTTTTAAAATTAAGTAAAAATACTTGATCTCAAATCTCGATCGATTTTAAAGTCCAATCTGTCCATTCTCCTCTTCAGGATTTTCCTTAGAGTAGAATAATTGAGAAATATCTGATACTAACTTTTAACTATCATTTACAAAATATTAATTAATTCCTTTTAAAGGTCAACATTTCCATTTATTTTATCAAAATTATCCTCATGCATTAAAATGGTCTCCAATCCATTGGGGCCACGCAGTTAGCCAAGATTTGGTTAATTGGGTACATCTTCCAATATTTTTATTGCCCGATCCTTCACTTGATGCAAATGCAACTGGAGGGATATTTTCTGGATCAGCAATATCCTTTCCTAATGAATTAAGAATCTTCTATACAGACTCTTTAATTGGAAGAATTCCAATGGAATTCCAAAAAATGGTTACAACAATTAATGGAATACATCCAAATGAATTATCAAAAACTGGTTATTATTAAATTTAAAAAAATAAATAAATATTATTTTTCCTTTTAGTTATTCCTGAAGGCCCTTCAAAACTCAATTTAACTCAAGACTTTCGCGATCCAAACGGTAATAAATTGAAAAGAGGGGATTAAATAGAAGAAAATATTTTTTAAATTTTTAAAGTAATTTTGGGACCCGATGGAAAATGGAAAATGATTCTAGGAAGTAGAGACAGTCAAGGAGGAGTAATTCTTCTCTACGGGACAGATGATCCGACAGCACAAAGTGGATGGCATTTTTTGAATGTTTTATATAGAGATAATCGTCTTGGAATGACTGTAGCTGAATGCTCTGGTAAATAAATATTTTGAAATAATCTTTGGATTAAAAGGATAGAAAGAAATTGGGATTCAAAAGAAAAGTTTGGAGGATGTCTTAAAAATTAATTTATAGGTCTTGCCCCAATTGATGGAAATCCACAGGATCCAAATACTTTATGGGCACTAATTTATGCTCAATTAAACAGTACTGACCCAGCAACTGGGAGAAGAGATATAACAACTGTACATGTGGGGAAGTTTGATGGAATAACTTTTACTCCAATGTTTGAACAGGAAATGGATTTTGGAACGCATGCTTATGCATTCCAAGTAAATAATTAAAAATAAAAAAAAAACTTAATAATTCCAAGTAATTTAAAAAAACATAAATTAAAATATTAATTAATTAATTTTAATATTCTTGAAAAAATTCCAGGCTCTTTACAGCCAAGAATTGGGAACTTTAACAATTGCTTGGTTGGCAAATTGGAAAGATTGGAATTGGGATACTAAGCCAGATTTCCCTACTTCAACGATTTTACCTAGAAAGTTGTTTTTAAGTGCCGATAGAAAGGTACTTTTTAAAAATTGATTTAAATTTATTTCTTAAATTAAATATATTTGGGTTGATTCAAAAATAAATTTGATTTTTGAATAAATAATGTATGTAGTATATTAAATAAAATAAACAAAAGAAACTTCATTTCAATTATCCTAGCTAATACATCCATATGTGTTATTTGTAATCGGAGTTGACAAAATCGAATTTTGAAAAGTGAAGTGGAAATTAGGGATAAAATTTCATTTGTAAGTTAATGGGGAGAAAATGTACATAAATAAATGAATAAACTTTCTAATAATAAATTCAAATAAATAATAGGAGGAGGTAATTTCAACCTTTTAAACTAGGCTAGCTCCCTGAGCCTTTGGGGTCGGGATCGGGGTTTTGCCAAAAAAAATTGTTGGGGGAAGGGGAGCTACTCTATTTTAAACATTACTAATTTTAACCATAATTTAAAATATTTTTATTTTTAAAGGCATTACTAACACCCCCAATTGATTGGGTTGTATCAAAATTGCGTAATCAACAATTGGATTTAGACAAACAACTTTTAAAAGGCCAATTTGTTGATTTACCTAATGGGACCGCAGAAATCTCAATTTCTCTTCAAAATTTCCAATCAAATATTTTAGAGCCAATTACTAGCGACCAAAGATCTTCGAATAATTCAAATAATGAAAATTTAAAATTTATTCGTTTGGAAATAGAACATCCAAAAATAACAAATGTTGGGGTTGAAATATCCTTTGAAGGGATTGAAATACTTTATGGACTTCCAAAACAACCTCAACAAAGATTAATTGCTTTGGGGGCTAAACCTAGTCAAGTTCAGGTAAAAACTACTCCCCCAAATTACTCCTCCAAAAGAGGGAATGAATAATTAATTTGAATTTTCTTTTTTAGATATTATTAGATACGGGATCCATTGAAGTTTTTGCAGATGGAGGGCGTTGGACAGGTAAATTTAAATTTAAAAACAAATATAAATTTATATATAAAATAGGGACAGTTAGAATTCCTGGAACAAATAAATTCACCAAAATCCGTTTAATTGGGGATCTTTCATTGGTAACCCGTTCAGAAATTTGGGGATTAAAACCTGCAGAATTTAAAGGAAAATTACAAATAAAGAAGTGAATATCATTATTTTTAATTTTATTTTCAATTTCTTTTTTTAATGAATTAATTGTGTATATTAGTTTATGATTCTCTTAAAATTAAATTTTTTTTGGAAAATTTTATTATTTAAATCAAACTGTCTTCGATATTTTAATTAAAAAGTTAAAAAAAGAATATGTAATAAACTAATCTTTTTTGTAATTTTTTACCATTTACAATTTCATTATTTATCCGGTCACCAAAATTATAATCAAAAAATAAATATATTTAATCAAGTTCTTTTGTTTAATATTTTAATTTTATTTTTTTGGTGACCGATTTTGTGTATATATTATTATTTTTAAGCATAGTATTAGTAATTAATTATCTAAAATATTTTCTTTACTTTTTAATCGCTAATATTCTAATTAAATATTTATTTTTAAATTCACTATGAACGGGGTTATTTTGTAAATACAGTCGAACTTCGGTTTTAAATCTCCCCCTCTTTGATTTTTAAAATCTCTTAACCCTTCGTTTATTCTCCTACACCAAGATGTGTTTAAAATAGTGTATCACCCTGTCCCCCGAAACCTTGATCCGAACCCTGAAGATTACCCCGACAAATCCCGATCCGCGACGATCCCGTCCCCAAAGGCTCGGAGTGATACCATAGTTTATAATCGAGATTCGAATCTGTATATTCATTTTACTGTTTAAAAATCTATTTTTTAAAATATTATAATTTCGAGACTTGGCAATAAATGATTAAATTTATTCAAGAAATTAAAAGAGATCATTACAAAAGAATTAATTAAAGTAATTAATATATATTTATTTATTTACAATTTGTTTGAGATTAATTTTTGGGATATTTTTTCATTTTTGAGAAAGCTTTTTTAATTTACTAAAATTTTAATTTTAAATTAATTTCCTTCAATTTTTAATTATTTAAAAACTTCAAAAGCTTCCAAAAATCAAAAAAAATAGTTGAAAGAGGGCTATTTACTAATTAAATAAAATCAAACATTTTTTTACTTTCAAAAATATTTTGAATATTTTTTGACTTTTCTTTTTTTAATTTTTTTAATTTTTCATTTGAATACCATCAAAGTCTAAATTAAAAATTATTTTTTTAAAACAATTCCCTCCCTTTTTTACCTATTAAAGTTCCATTCAAAACGACCAGGCTCTTCGAGAGCTAACCATCCTGCTGGCTCCATAAAGTGCCCATCAGAATTTCGTTTGATTGCACCCCCTCCGAATTGTTGGTCTGCTAGGAATCCGGCCCTATAAAATTTTTGAAAAAATTAAAAAATTTCAAAAAATTAATATCTCTACCATCGATCACCCATTCCTGAAGGAAAGGGAGAAACAAATCCATTTCCACTAGCATATGGCATCAGAAAAGGTGTTTGAGGTGCAAAACCGCGAAAAGTTGGGGGGTCATTAAATTTCTTTTCTTCGTTAATGTGACTTGAAAATTAAAAATTTTAATTTTTAAATTATTTTCTAAAAACAAACTTATTATTTTGTCCAACAGAAAGTAAAGGTTTTGCGTTAATTGAAGGTGTAAACAATAAAATTCCGGAAAGAAATATAAAAAGAATAATTGAATGAATTGAATTTTTTGTTGAAATTTTGACAGATGGAGAGGAAAATGAAGAAGAGGAAGACATTTTTTGAATTTATTTTTTTGAAATAATTATTTCTAAATAAAATTAAAATTTTTATTAATTTACTTTTCAATCCAATAATTTAAGTTTTTAACTAATTTTTTGGTCAACCTTTCAAAATTCCTGTAAACGCTCTCAATTAAGAAAAAGTCTCTCAAAGTCTCTCAATTATTATTTAATATTTCCCCTAATTTAGTCTTTATTTAAAAAATTACTAGCAAATATCCTCCTAAATATATCCCAAGATTAATTTATTACTATACTTTCTAGATATAATAAAGAAATATGTATTTCTTTAAAATATAAAATAAATTTTAATAAAAATTCTTTAAAATAAAATGCAAATTAAAACAAATTAATTTCGTGATGGAAACAACAAAATATACTCTTTTTTTCTCAGAAATTAAAATGAAAAAAAATTTTTTTCTTTAATAAATTTTGTTTATTAGACTTAAAGTCACGTTCTCTTTAGCGGAAACTCAATTTAAATATTTACAAGTGCCAACAACTTTTGTTTTTTATGGGAAAGTTTTATGGGAGAATGCGCACAGAAAAGTTGACCTTAAATGGTGTAAATAACTTTTAAAATAATATTTTTAATAAAATCCTTTGGTATTACTCGCCTTGTAAAGGTAAGTATTATCCTAATAATCCTTTAATTATATTAAAGTACCCCTCAGCTTCCGTGCTTAAAAACGTTAAATTAACCATCACAAAAATAAAAATACAACTACAGACAATAACAGATAAAAACTATAGTCTAGAATATTTTTGTGGTTAATTTGTCTTCAAAAATAATTTTAAAAATTAAGAAAAAGCATTGACGCG